TGTGCCACCATGCCTGGTTGATTTTTATATTTTTAGTAGAAACAGGGTTTCACCATGTTGGCCAGGGTGGTCTCAAACTCCTGACCTCAGGTGATCTGCCCACCTTGGCCTCCCACAGTGCTAGGATTACAGGCATGAGCCTAAATTTCCTACGTGTCACAGATGTACTAAAATGGAAAGAAAACCAACAGAGTGTGGAAAATATTTGTAGCAAATAGAAAAAAATTTGTAGCAAATAAACAAGTAGTTTATTATTAGTTAAATAAAAACCTTCTTTTTTTAGATTAATGAGAAAAGAATGTAAACTGGAATTTTTTAGTAAAAACAAAGCAAGTAAATATATGAGAAAATATTTGTTTTTATTAGTAGTTAAAGAAAAATTCAGACTAGATGCGGTGGCTTGTGCCTGTAATCCCAGCATTTTGAGAAGCCGAGGTGGGCAGATTGCTTGAGTTCAGGAATTCGAGACTAGCCTGGGCAACATGGCAAAACCTCATATGTGCAAAAAAATAGAAAAATTAGCCAGGCATGGTAGTACACATCTGTGGTCCTAGCCATTTGGGAGGCTGAGATAGGAAGATTGCTTGAGCCCAGTAGGTGGAGGTTGCAGTGAACCAAAATCATGCCACTGCACTCCAGCCTGGGCAAGAGCAAGATGCTTTCTCAAAAAAAAAAAAAAAAAAAAAGTACCAATCAATAAAGGGAAAAATGTGCTACTAAATTAGCAAATATATTTAAATATTATAATACCTAGCGCTTGTGAGTATGCAGTATATTAATACATTGCTGATGGTAGTATAAATTGATATTACCCTTTTCATCAAAACTGTAAACATGCCTGGGCTGGTCTCAAACTCCTGCCCTCAAGTGATCCTCACGCCTCAGCCTCCCAATGCTGGGATTACAGGCGTGCGCCACTGCTCCTGGCCCCTCCTGGTTTTAATTGAGCATTTTGTGTAATTCTACTTTTCGTTCTCTTTTAGCTTATCAATTAGACTTCCTTTAAAATGTTTTGTGTTGTTTTCCCTAGACTTTTTAATATATATTTACAATTAATCTAAGTCTACTTTTGAGTAACATTATACCACTTCCTAGATAGTGTAGAGATACCTTGTAACAGAATGCTCACAATTTTTCCCTTCTGTACCTTATATTTCTGTCATTTATTTCTCTTATCTATTAGCTATAACTACCCAATACACTGTTGCTATTACCATTTTGAACAAATAATCATCTATTAGCTCAATTAAGAATATGAAAATACAAGATTTTATTTTACCTGTATTTATTTGCTGACCTTTAAACTTCCTTCTTACTTTTGTTTTATTTTGTTTTTTAGAGACAGGTCTTGCTATGTTGCCCATGCTGGAGTTCAGTGGCTATTGTCAGGCATGACCACAGCGCACTGCAGCCCCAAACTCCTGGGCTCAAGTACTCTTCCCACCTCAGCCTCCTCAGTAGCTGGGACTCCAGGCATGACCCACACTGTACCCTGCTTTTCCTTCATTTATGATTTCTGATCTGTATCATTTTCCTTCTCTCTGGAAAATTCTTTTAATATTTCTTGCTAAGCATTTCTACCAGCAAGAAATTCCTTGTTTTTATTTGTTTGAGAAACTCTCTATTTCTCCTTCATTTTTTTTTTTTGAGTCACATAATGATTTAATATTTACTTGCAAATCATTCACTCACATAATTTCAAGTGCTAAGTCATTCTGGAATTCTTACATTCTGACATTAAGAATATTCACATGTTGTACAGCCATCATCAGCACCCATTTCCAGAACTTTTTTTTCATCATCCCAAACTGAAACTTTTTATCCATTAAACAATAACTTTAATATCCATTAAACCTCATGTAACCCCTAGAAAGCACTGTTCTACTTTCCGCTTCTATGAATTTGACTATTCTAGTTTCCTTGTGTACATGAATCCTATAATATTTGGCCTTTGGCATAATATCCTCAAGGTTCATCCATGTTGTACTATATGTCAGAATGTTCTTCCTTTTTCAGGTTGAATAATATTCCATTGTGTGTGTGTGTGTGTGTGTGTGTGTGTGTGTGTGTGTGTGTATACACACCACATTTTGTTTATTCATCTGTTGATGGACACTTGGGTTGCTTCTACACTTTAGCGATTGTGTAATGCTGCTGTGAACATAGGTGTACAAATATCTCCTCACAACCCTGTTTTCAGCTATTTTGGGTATACACCTAATAAGGGGCATTGCTGCATCATATGGTAATTCTATTTTTAATTTCTAAGGAACCTCTGCAGTGTTTTCCACAGTGGCTGCACCATTTTACATGCCCACCAACAGTGCACAGGAGTTCCAGTTTCTCCACATCCTCACCCAATGTTTGTTATTTTCTGGCTTTTTCATAGTAGCCATCCTAATGAGTGTGAAGTGGTATCTCATGTTTTTGATTTTGCATTTTCCTACATGATTGTAGAGATGTTGGACATCTTTTCATGTGCTTATGGGTCATTTTTCTGTTTAGAGAAATGTGTATTGTCATTTGCCCTTTTTTTTAATGCAAGGTCTCACTCTGTCACCCAGTCCGGAGTGCA